CCGTCCAAATCAGCCGATAGAATTTATAAAAAAAAACAAAAAAAATTATGATCTGTCATAAAAATAAAATGAAAATTTATGGAATCATAATAGAGCAGTGTGACTAAGGAGGCCTAGATCATTTTTGGGCTTGTTGGGATTTTCTCAAGTAAACGAGCCTTTTCGGTTCCCCAAAGGTCTAAGCCATCAAATCGGATAAGGCCTCTGTACCGACTTATTCAATTTTCCTATCACATGGCTGGACGTCATCTTTTCATTTTTCACGGAAAAAAATGATCGAAGTTATTTTTCGTGGAATGTATCATACATAACAAACAGTCAAGCTTTTACATCATGCTCATGTATATGCATGCTCTTGCTCACGCGATCAAACAAGAGTATTCTTCATGTACGTGACTGATGACTGTCCTAAATCTGTCGGAAAAGGCATCCACATTTTCTTTCAAGCACGACACGAACAAACTTTTTTTGGGGAAGATTTGTTTGGCACTATATGATTCTGATATCGGTCTCCCAAAGTAACTTTAACCATTTTTTCTATGGTATCTGTTTATTTTGTTTTTTAAGCGTCTCCCAACGATCTCAAGGAGTAACTGCAGGAATACGATTTTTCGAAAATTAGTAATATAAAATATCTTACTTGATAAGTTTTCGCTACAAATAAATGCTGAGAAAGAAACAAATGAGAAACAAGCCAAAGAAAGTTGGATGCAAACAAACTCTACCAGATATACTTCAATTTATTTCACATTGAAAATGCCATCATTAAACTATATTGTATTTGTTGATTACTTTTTATCTTATTTCTCAATTATAAAGTTGAGTATCCCAGCAAAATTTTAAAATTTGATGGTTCCAGAATCTTTTTTCTTCTATATATCTTTTTTTTTTTGTCATCAACAAAACATATTTTCTCAATTTGTGAACCAAATTAAGAACTCTTAATTTGCTCTACGTATACGATATAGGACAACGGATTCTCAATATTCTGAACAAATCTGTCTATCCTTTTAATGTAAGTTCTAGATACATGAGTTATCATAAATATGATGAATCTATCCTTCCACCTTCGAAACTCTTTCATATATATTGCGAATGTATGTCACTCTTGTTATTCCTTAGCCATCTTCACCAGGTCGGAGAAATCTAGCGAAAATATCACATAATTGTCGGAAAGTTATCATACATTCCATAATCCAAATAAGTGCTTCAGACTTTAGGTGAGCGGTGTGAAGCTACACATTGTGTTTTTTGCCCCCATCTATCCACAATCTTTCAAAACTTTCGAATGTATTGTAACAGTCTATTCCGATAAAATTTTCGTTTTCTTTCCAAAAACCATCCATAAAACACCATTTTCTTACTCTGGTTATGTTTATACTATGTTTACTCGTCATAAAAACTAATCTAATATTTATAATCATCATTTTCTTTTTAAATTTCCAATTACGAGTTAATTCTAGATCTTGCAATTGTAAGTTTTTTTAGCTTTATTATTCAGTACTTTCTCAAATTATTTTTGACTTTCCAGTCACAAGTTATTTCCAAACTTGCAATAGAAACCCAATTCTAGATCTTGCAATCGCAAGTTTTGTATCATGATTATTTGAAACCCTATGAACGTATACAAATATCGGTGATGGCTCCATGATGTAAGTTTGTTTAGTTTTAAAATTCAGTACTTTCTCAAATTGTTTTTGACTTTCCGGTCACAAGTTATTTCCAAACTTGCAATGGAAACCCAATTCTAGATCTTGCAATCACAAGTTTTGTATCGTGATGATTTGAAACCCTATGAGCGTATACAAATATCGGTGATAGAGTACTTTCTCGAATTGTTTTTGACTTTCCGGTCACAAGTTATTTCCAAACTTGCAATGGAAACCCAATTCTAGATCTTGCAATCACAAGTTTTGTATCGTGATGATTTAAAACCCTATGAGCGTATACAAATATCAGTGATGGCCCCATGACTGGATGTTGCGATTTTTCCAAAATCACATGCAACCCTGAGAGTTGAATACAAATATAATGAAGGTATGTTTGGTCTCATACATGATACCACATATTAGTTTCTCGGATATACTGGAAATCAGTGAGATTGAACAAATTAATATTATTAAATCTTAGAGTTGATTACATATTAGGATACATTTTGTCTTTCTTTTACACAGAGAAACACATACCATATGTGGTATACTTTTGTGGGTCTAAGTGGTTGGTTTGACAAAAAAAAAATCTTGAGAGAAATGAGATTGAGTTGTGTTTCGTTGGAGGGAACATCCTTGTTTCCAAATCAGTGACCTTTATTGCAATTATGTTCTAGTTTTATAGGATAAAGAGTTCTGTTTTCGAACGTCAAAAATCATCTTCACCTCACCCATCATCTTTATTGGGTTTGTGTAACTGGAACGGCCAGTTCCAACAGTAAGCGGCCAAAACCCCTTGCTGCTTTCTCACACCACACATACATCACCCGTCCACACATCTCCTGAACACAAACCATCGAAACACATCTTAGCCGAACACAACTCAGTCATCCACAAATTCCAAGTTCCACCTTTATCAACAAGCCCAATAACTCACCTTTCTAAACGCACTAAATCCTCCATCTATTATGCTAAAAATCACCCAAACAGCCCAGAAATCCATCACCTCATATACAATTGTCTTAAATTTTTTGAAACAATCAGTCCTGACCCACCATCACAGCATCAACCCATATACGACACATCAACCCACTATGCCTCTCCGAGACCTCCCTTGTTTCCCTGGCCTCCATAGCCCATCACACTTGAAGACCAAACTCCAAACTTCATGCACGTCAGGATTATTAAAATCAACTGGATCTCAAGGAAGAGAGAAGAAAAATCTTACAAAGACAAAAAATCTTATGAAACTGACCTTGGGTGTTGGGATTCTTCAATCTAAGGGATTTCCGCTTCGACATGATGTTCGAAAGTTAAAATATATGTCGAAATTGTAGAGATTGAAGATAAGAGTATATGTCTACAGGCGATTGAGAAAAAAATTGAGAGTCTGAAGTCTCTAGGGTTTCACTTGATTTCAAGAGGAAAAGGGAGAAATATCTGAAATTTTAGCAGCATAAGGGTTTTGTTGAACATCAATTGGGAATATGTTCAGTTCCGTTTCGTTCTTTTTAGTGCAAGGTCATTCATATCTTTTCGACGTGAAGAAGTGTGTCTCAAGCGCTATATATATCTTGAGGTGTAATTGCAAAGTGGGAAAATGTTCTACAGTGTAAAAAAAATCTAAATCTTGAAGATCCAAAAGATCAATGTTCTAAAAATCACTAGGCGGTAACTAGGCGTACTAGTACTATAGAGGATTAGCGCATAGGCGGATTATTCGGAGCCTAAGCGGGGATTGGGCGTTAACGAATTATTGTTTATTTATATATATATAACATTTATATAAGTTATTTTAGTTTTTTTTTGTTTAATTATAATTTTATTTTAATGAATTAGTAAAATTAGATAGATTACATAAAATAAATTACACAAATTTGTAATTTTTTTTACTAACATTATTACTTAATTTTACACATTTATACTCATTTAAAGTGATTACAACTGTTTTAGAACAATTTAAATCAATTTAAAATGGTTTAAACCGACTTGAATCGTATAAATGAGATTTTAAGAAAATCGTTTCGGTAAGAGGGAAGTTGGCGCCTAAGCGCCCGCCTAGACCGATTTTTAGAACATTGCAAAAGACCATTATTATTTTAAATATCTAAGTTAACAACAATGTTGTCTATTACATGTTTTTTTTTCATTTACATTGAGAATTTATAGGTTATATTCATCATTATTTAACTTTTCATAATAACTGTTTGACATTTTTTTTCATTTTAATCCTATCAGTGTTGTAGTTGACTGAGATAATCATCTTATATATATCTCACATGTTATTCCCGTTTCAAATATAGAAAAGTTTGGTTGGAGGGATTTTGAAAGAAGAGTATATAATTGATTGGAATACTATCCCCCTAATTAACTCTTTCGAGGGTAGTACACTTTTCGTAACCATGGTTTATTATATGTGGAGAGAACGAAATTGTAAGAGACTTCTACCTTTATACAGAACATTAAAACTATTGACAAAATAATGAGAAATCGACTCTCTGGTAGAAAAAAAAAGTTCATATAAATAGTGTCTGGTCCTGAATATTTGGACTTTTAAACATAGTTTTTTGACGCATTAATTACTGGTTATAGAAAACAAGTTTTAACTTGTAAACCTTAAAAAATGTATCACACGAGGCTTTTGTTTTTTCTTATAAGAAGCTCGTTCATCCGGCAGGGAAACCATAACTCATTTGTCATGTCACGATTTACCTTATACTCTTCTTTCTTGCTACTGTCACAACTCGCTGCCGCTCAAAGCACCACCGATACTGAAGAAGGAGGAGGGTTAAAACCAACCACGGCTTTAGTCATGATCGTATTCGTCAGCGTTTTCTTCTCACTTGGATGTGTCTCCGTCGTCTACATGCGAAAGTGTCTCGCGCAATCTCTAGGGATCGACGACAACCGAAGAAGATCAGGCGACACGGTAAACTGGCTTAACGCGAGGCAGACGGCGTGTGGACTCGACGCGTCTGTCATAGAAACGTTTCCAACGTTTCTTTACTCCAACGTGGAGAGGTTGAGAATTGGCAAAGCAGCCTTAGAGTGTCCCGTTTGTCTTAACGGGTTTGAGGACGATGAAACGCTGCGCTTGATTCCTAAATGTTGCCACGTGTTTCATACTGGTTGCTTAGATGCATGGCTACGTTCTAACGTCACGTGTCCTCTCTGCCGTGCCAATCTCGTTCCTGTACCGGGTGAGTCTGTTTCTTTCGAGATTCCCGGTTTAGCTAGAGAATCTGGTTAGAACTCTCCCCGAGCGTCGGTTGTTTAGCTAATCAAGTGAGGAGCTCGATAAGCCAAAGAAACTAAGATTAGTTTGAAAGTTACACAATAAGGTCTGTATATATTTTCTTTTGTTAGTCAAAAAATTCAATATCTATAATAGCTCAGATGAAATAAATGTTTTTTGTTTTATCTAAGTTTTCTAAAACACTCAAAAACCATCAAGAAGATAACAAAGACAAAAACAAGTAAAGTTTTGCTCAAAAAAAAAAAAACAAAAACAAGTAAAGCATGTCACATAGTTCTTCAGTTGTAATGGATGTGAGAACTTGAGACTTGAGAGAGTGTTTCATGAACCAGAGCCACCATGACGGTAATAGAGAACGGATCGGTAGAGAGCAGCAACATGGAGGAAACAAATGAGGGCTATAGCTAGATCATCCAGTAAACCGATAATCCCAAAGATTGCTAACAAGAAATAGATACAAAAAGTATTGGTAAGTCACTTAAATCGAAAAAAAAAGAAAAGAGAAGAATGTGTATATAGTCAAAGAGATGAAATTGAGGAATCACCTTCCGGAATGATATCTATTGGGCTGATTATGTAAATAGCACTGAGTATCAACTGCATCAGATAAAAGTTGTGAGCTTAGGAAAACGATATAAACTTTCTTCAAGGTGTTCAGAAGTAGTAAAAAGAAACTAACCGCAATGTAAACACGAGCTTTGATGACGAGTGGAAGCGTTCTTTGTGGATCCATAATTTCTCTCAACAGCCTTGGGAGTAAGAAGGGAAGGTCTCGCATACTCTGCAGACACACAAAAAAATAACTAAAGTTTCAAAAGACAGTGAAACTGAAACAATTCAAACCCTGACTTAGACTTAAAAGTACATTAGACGAAAGGCATACCTGAAGTAGACCAGTTGACTGTCCACCAAAGACTCGGTTGTAAGTTTGAACATCGCGAAGAACCTCTGAAACTGTAGAGTCATTATCTCTCCCTCTCGATGTGTCCTCAGAAGGAACTAGCAAACTAATCGGACGACGACACAAAGGACACTTGCATGGGCGTAATGTAGAGCCATGCCTCCACACTAGCATAATGCAGTTTCCTACAATAATAGTTTTAAGAAAGCGGATCATATCAATTTATAATCCTTCACTGAGAAACTATACAACTAACAATCACATTGGACTGAACTACGTGTCAAGATATAGATGTTAATTAGCTAAAAACCTCACGATTACTCAAAACATTCAGGAGAGATAATATAATCGAGAAACTAAGGACCTAACTAAGGTTCGATAAAGTATAAGAGATCGCACCGCAAAACCAGTGGGAGCAATTGGCTTGGCAAGGAGCACTGAAATTGCCGTGGCATATTGAACAAACCTCGTTCTCCGGAGCCTGATTCATCTTCTTCTACCTCTCCTTGGTCTACTCGTTGTTCTTCGATATATATATTATTCACAGGGTTTATTTTTCCGTAGCAGTTAAGTATATTTACCTTATATGTTTTATTACACGTGTCGACTGATGAAGCTAAAGAGGATGGATTGATCAATCCGAGCCGTTAAAATTGTAAATTTAGCGTCATCAAGTTGGCTAAAGACTTTGATTGGTTAATACTTTTTATATAACCAGTTGTTACTTAGTTATAGGTAATTCTACACTTGTAAGTTTTAAATTATGGCCGCAAATACTGAATTGACTCTAACAATGTGCAACCGACGATCAATATTGAAGACGAGATTACAACTACGAGCATACATGTGTTAGAAACATGGCGATTAAGCTATCAACATATCATTAGTTCTTAAAACCAGAGGATTGGTTGGTCAAAGACCATTGAGTAAAAGCAACCGTAGAGGCAAACAAATCAAACCAGAGAGGGATTATTGATTTGTTGAGTTTCTATCTTTCAAGAGAAGACATGATTTCCCCAAAAAAAACAAGTCAGAATGAGTGAGTCAGTGTGTACAAATCCACTGAAAAGCAAAGTTTAAACAATGGTCATATTATCTCAAAAGCCATATCCTCCTGAGAGATCAACAACCATTCTCATACCAAAAAAAAATATAACAAACTCTTGTAGTTGTATTAGAAACCCATGAATGTTTGGGTTTATATCCTCACGCTTCTTCCTTCTCTTACTTTTCCGTTGCCTGAAATCAAATCAATAACATTGGAAAAAAAAACAATCACTAACTTGTTCATACTATGTAAAAATCTTGTAGATTATATAAAACATCACTTATTACAAACTAAGTTACACACTGACAAAAAAATAATCAAACCGTTTTCACCTCTAAATTAGTAACTATTAAGCCCACACACCGACACAGTCAGAGGAGAAGAGACAAACCTGAGGCACCGAAGAAGCCTTAGGTGAAGACGAAGAAACATCAAAGACACGAGAACAATCTGTGTAAGCAGAGCCAATACCAATCCCAGCACCAAAAGCAATCGACGCCCATCTTGTTACAGGACTCCCTACAAAGTAATCAATCATAGATCAGATTCGAATCGGAACAACACACTATTCGATTTTACTAGCCAGAAGAACCCTAAACGCTATTGAATCGTAAGGAGAGAGAGAGAGTGGGAAGAAAAACACCGAACTGAAGAAGAGAAGACCGGCGAACGCGCCGCCAAGGGAGGAGTAGACGACGCGACGAGCACTGAGATCGATACACGCGTCCCATTTTGCGTTGACATCCGACTCGCCGTTACTCTTCTTTTCCATTTTCTTTCTCCGATTTTGATTTCTTCCTCCTCCTTCCGATATTTTGCTTCTCCCGATCTCTAAGGGCTTGTTTGTGTGCAAAGCCAATCAGGTTGGGCCACAGTATGGGCCTATTAAGTGTGCATTATATTGGGCCACAGAGATTTTAGTATTTTACATATCTCAGTCTTGCAATGTAGCATCAACAACAAAGTGGAATTATTGAGCATTTTTTTTTGGATTTGTGGTGTGAATGATTTTTAATCTCGATCCAACTTAACATTAAAATCCAAGAAAATGCAAATTAATACAACTGTTGTCAATTGAACCCGTTGTGATTATTCATCCTCTTCTTAATCATTCATGTTTTCAGAAAAATAAAATTTAGCTTTATCAAAAACTTGCAGTTAAGCACCAAGTTATCATAAAATAAATGCAAATTAGTTAATTCATCTTTTGCAAAAGAACACTAAGGTACCGTTTTTATTTTTGTTGAACAATTAAAAAATCAAAACATCTCATTTTCAGAGACAAAGGTAGTTACGTCTTAAATATACACTAAACCAAAAATTGATAGGAAACAATTTTCAGAAACAAAGATATTTTATAAATTGATATGCTAATTAATCCGAGAATAAAAACCTACGTGTGAAGCGTAATTGGTATGATGTGACTAAAATTTTATAACTACAGAGGATTGAGAAACATTAACAAATCCATCTGTCAGCCGGTAGCTATTCTTTCCTCGTAGCTCATACTAGTCAAGAAAAAACATGATTCTTAGTACATTCGATTCAAATTACATGCTCAATAAAAAAGTTTATTCTACGATATATGAAAAACGTATTTTTCATTTTATCACAAATTATAATGTTGTCCTTGTGCATTTTGTTTTAATTGACATTCTAAGAAGCCATATATAATTGTAATTTTACAAAGATTTGGCCAACAAATATATAATTTTGAAAACATTACTCTTAACATATTAAAGTTTTACTTTTAATAAAATAAACAGATTTATGACGACTACATAAGCTAAAATTTATTTTTAATATTATTCTGACGACTACATAAGTTATAATGTATAGTCAAAATAAATTATTTCCTTAAATATTTATTATGCAACAAAAAAATATTTTACTAATCAAATATTGTTTTAATTATACACAATAACACAAACATGTTCACTATTTTAACGAATGAACTAAAAAATTAATCAAATATTCACTAATACTATATTTCATATATACCTAAAATGTTATTTATATTAGATTTGAATGTGTTTTGAAAACCGATTTAGACCGATCGATCTGGTTGAAAGTGTGACTAATTCTTCTATTCGTTTAAGTATTGTGTTACGAACCTTATTTGAATTAAGTTAGAAAAATTGTAAAAAGACAGGTGAAACTCACCAAAACTACTGACACGTTTAAAGATCAAAACTTTTTTCAAATTTAATTAAAAGGAAAATATATAAATTAGAATAATTATTTCAAAATAATTTTTGTATCTAAAATTATAATATAATATAAAATAAAATATTATGACATTATCAGATCACTAAGCAAAAAATAAATACTTTCAAATTGTATTAATGTATTTATTTTATAATATATTTTCCTATCAAAACCACATACTTTCTTATCAAAACTACATTATTTTTTTTATCCAATCTGACATATTCCGTAAACCGTATGAACCGCAGTAACACCATACTCCACTTTAATTCCACACCGTTTATATTATCAAAATCACCGTTACCCTCCGAACTCTAAATCTTCTTACTTCTTAAGCTTGATTAAGTTTGATCAATGTGATATAAGATAAAGAAGAAAAAAGCATGAAAGAATTACAATGTAGTATTTCGTTGTTAGAGGAAGTATATGTGCAGCTCACTATAGGCCCGAGCCCATTTCTAGACAACTTCACATTCAAAGTATATACGGTTTTGGTAGCTTTCTCAGCATTTTTATGACTGGTATCAATCATTGAGGAAACGACGAGCCAAGTGAGTTGGTTCCCACTAAACCAGGCTCATCTGGATTACTTTTAATGGTTACTTGCTTGTTCGAGCTTTTCATTGGCTTTGCCTCCTACTTGTATTTTGCAAAGTCCTACATCTCTAAGAGGCTCCGCTCAACACCCTTTAAATCATATCTCTCTCGTGTTAAATAATATCACAGGTACTCTTTCTCTCTAGATCTGTAATTTTTTAGGTAACACTTTCATCGCACCAAGTTATATCATGTTACTCTAATAGCTCGTAACCCACGTAAGCATATAATGCAGATACAACTCAGACTTTTCTTGTTCTTAAACTTGATCTACACGGCGATACACATACAACCTGGAGAAGAACAAAAACGCCAAAAACCCAACGGCGGTGAAAGCAGCCAGCAACCAGTAGAAATAATCAACATGGGCTCGGTTTAAGTTAGTGTTGAACCAGCTATCACCACCATCTTTTCCTGTAACCCAATTAATCACAGTGATGAGAAAACCACTCAAGAAACTCGAAAGACCCATTGCACTCAAAGAAAGCGCAAGACCAATGCTCCTTAACTCCGTTGGAACTTGGTCGTAGAAGAACTCTTGTGTACCCACTAACGAGAACACATCAATCATCCCTAATAGCAAATACTGAGGAACGAACCACCATATCGACATTGGCACAGTTGCTTCCGGTCTATCCACAAGTCCGTATTCCTTAGCCATATCGAGCCGTTTGGTCTCTACCAAAGCAGCCACAACCATATTGAAGCTAGAGAGAACCATTCCAGCTCCTATTCTCTGGAGCATTGTGATACCAAAAGGCTTTTTGGTAATGTATCTAGCTAACGGGAGGAATACACGCTCATAAGTTGGAACTGAGATGAGAATCGACACACCGATAAATGACTGAAAAGAAGCTGGAGGGATTTCAAAACCCGGGAAGATTTTTCTGTCTACCGTAACGCCTTGCTTGGTGAAGAAGGTAGAGTATTGAGCATAGGGTATAGTGCTTATGACCGATGTGATCCATATAGGTATAAGCCTTACCAAAGCCATTGCATCTTCCACGTCCTTTCTACTACATGGTTCTCCACCTCCTTCTCCTGGTAGTAACGCTTTCGCTAGGCACCTTTAGGTTAAAATTAAGTCATTCACACTCAAAATTAGGTCAAACTCTAAAACAAAAATTCAAAACATTTTTAGAAACTTATGCAACTTACTCAAGCGAGCCTTTGCATTTCAGAGAAGAACCATCCTCTAATAGACCTTGACCCAAACCGGGATCAGTTAAGTTCAGTTTTCGATTCTTGTAAGCCGTGACGAACACTCTACCGATTCTTGCAAAAGCGTTCTTCTCTTTGTAATCTTCTTTAGGGTATCTATAAGTTTTTCTCCCAAGCAAGAAGAGAGCAAGAGCCATAATCATGAACAGACAAGGGATCCCAAACCCAAGCGCCCAGCTAATATTGTCTTGAACGTAAACAACCACAAGAAAAGATAAAGTGATTCCGGCAGATAATGTCATGAACCACCAGTTGAAAAACGATCCTCTGGCTAGTCTCTCCTTTGAATCTCTAGAGTCGAATTGGTCTGCACCAAACGCTTGAACACAAGGCTTGTGGCCGCCTTGTCCGATCGCCACCATGTACAGAGAGCAGAAGAAAAGTATATTCACCCAGAAAAACGTTTTAACTGAGTTGTTGCGTTGCTCTGTTATTCTTATGAGGATTAAGAAAGCCGACAAGGTCAATAGTCCTAGTCCCTGTATGTAATAACAATCACCCAAATATATAAGGTGTTGTATACTTTTTTTTTGGTTATATAATTACATTTGTTTTTTTAACTTAAAAGCACTTACAAATATGTTAAAAGTTCAACGTGAAATTAAACTTATATTTTTTGGAAATAATTCAAAATCTAATAACAGATAATTTTGAAAAAAAAACTTATAAGTTATGATCCAATAAGATCACATGATTTTGTTTACAGATTTTTAATTGATGCAAAATTTATTTGAAACCGATAAAATTGTCCCTCTTTTTTTTTTTACCTAAAAAAATGTCTTTAGATTAAGTGTTTCTTCTTTAAGAACTTGAACTAAGATCGTTGACAAAAAAAGAACTAAGACATAAAACATAATATTTTTTTAAAAAAAATAGAAGAACTGATTAATTAAAATATTGAAAGAAAACAGCTTCTTTTTGTTTAGATTTTTAATCAATTAAAAAATTATAATTTGGAGTTGGAGAAGGAACATACGAGTATGTAGATGAGAGAAGATATGACTATGGTGAGGTAACGACCAAGATAAGCGTCTGCCACGAAAGCTCCTAAAACAGGAAGCATCGAGGCTGTTCCTGACCATGTGTTCACGTTAACGGCGGCACTCGCTGTCGATTGGCCGAGAGGTCCGGTGAGATAAGTAATTAAGTTGGAGGCAATCCCAAAGTAAGCAAATCTTTCTCCTACCTCCACACCTAAATTTTTTTCAAGAAAATAAAGAAAACCGTAAAACAAATTTCAAGAAAAGAAAAGGATTCGATGTTTTAGTTATGTCTTCTCACCAATAATATACCAGGCAGACCTCCATCCACCGGTGGAAAGTTTTCCGGCAGGAACTCCACGGTGGTCTACTGAATCGCGAACGTAATCTTCTAGAAATGCGACTTCTTCCTCTATGGCCATTTCTTGTTGCCACTGAAATAAAGAATCTCTTTGTAGACGATAGTGAAACTAGACTTTAAACTATAACTCTGGATCTGTTCCCCCAAAAAACACTATAACTTTGGTCTTCGCTCAGTGAAAATATGTAATTAACCTCCTGGTCCACCATTTTTATTTTTTTATGGCCAGGTGTTTCACGAGATATATTTTATCCTCTGCTATTTTTGTTTGTTTATCATATTATTTTAGTCAAAAGTGAAGTTTATATTATATCAGAGCAGCTCCGGTAGAAGCTATTACAAAATATCTATAACCATTATAAATATTAAAAAAATTGAAAGAGAAAATAAAAAGTGGTTCTTTGC